TATATTTCTTAAAAAAATTTTATAATTCTAGTGATGGAATTAAAATTGACGAATTTTTTTATAATTTAGAAAGCTGTTAAAAAGTTTCAATGTTTAGAAGTAAAGTACATATGACTAATAATATAATTTGTATATTTTTTTTTTTAAGTATTTTTTTACCTAGAGCATAAATTATATAACTAATCAAGTATAACTGTGGAACTATAGTTAAATGTTTACTACTCCGATGTATGAGGATGTAACTTCAGAATATTTCTATTATAATTATTTAATTGATTGTATTCAGAAGTTTTTTAAATAAAATATATTTTTAAATATGCAATAAATGTTGAAAAGTTTTTATATACTTTAATTAATTTATGCTTATTTTTATATACCTACTTGTATGTAGGTTACCTATGGTTATTTCCAAACATGTTAAGTGTTTTATGTTCATTGGAATAATTGATCAATAAAGATAACCTTGGCTTTTAAAAATTGCACATGTATGTATAATTATTAATGAAATAATCGAGTTTCCAAAAATTAACAATTTTATATTGATATAATATGACATGTTTTTAATTTTAATCATCTTTGTCTTAATTTTCATTAAATTTATTTCAAAAAAATAAACAAAATATTAAAATTAAATAGCAATAATTTAAAAACATATATCAACTATGGTTTGTAAAATGTTATTTTAACATAGGTATAAACAGTCAATAGTTTTGTAAAATTTGCTTTGTAGTTTATACTTTATATCTAACAAGTAACAATATATTACGCTAGGTAGTTTTCCCTAATATAAAAACAAAAAATTTACCTCAGWGTTATTTTTTGTTATAATAACTGTTGAGATGAATAAAGTTTTTTAACCATTAAAAGTTTTAATTACAAATAACAATAGTGTGTATTTATTCACTTGAAAATTTGACTTTTAATGTTCATAAAAGAGCACCTGAAACCTTTGTTATTTGATAGTATACACCTTGACAGTCAATTGCTGGAGCTCTACTCTTGTATTATATTAAAATGACAATCAAAGGGATATGAATACCAAAATTGTTCTTAATTGATATATAAATAGTTTGTCACTATACATATATATATATATATTTTTTTTTTAAACATAAGATAGTTATTTTTATGTAATGAGTTTTAAATGATACTCCAACAAAATAAATTATGTTGTGTGGAAAGTTAAACGAATCGTCCAGCCAAATGAATATTCACTGTGGTCTGTGAGTGTTTATTGCTATATGAATAAAGTTTACGAACGATCTTTGATGAAGTCATTTTTACGTCTGTGGAAGCTCCAAAATGATAGGTTACTACTTACAAAGGCAAATCAAAACAATTTTAAGATAACTGTGATTGATGACGTTCTTTTGAAACTAATCAAAAATAATAACACAAYTATGAAAATAAAACTATTTGTTTATCGAAGATTTTCACATTATATCTAAATTATCTGGTCTATCAGTGTTTATATTAATTACATACTATCATTACTATCAAATTTAAAAATAAAGACTCGATATATTTTCAGTTTAGTTAATTTAAATCATTAAAATTAAAAAAAATGTATTGTTTAAATATAGATATAGATTCTCGSKCCCCCCTCCCCTATACGTTAGATGTTTATAAGAAAATAAAACATGAACTCAGATAAAAAGTTTGCTTTTCCATTAAATTAAAAACTATATTGATATATTTATATTTATTAAATAAGATAAACATAGGACATTTTTACACATAACTTATAACATATTTAATTATAACTAAATGTATTTGAATAAGTTGCGAATTAAAAATTAGWGTACATTTATTTAATAAACTATTTTATTATTTATATTGAATACCTAAAATACCTAATACTGTTACTATTAAAATATTATAACCATCATATGTTTTGTCTTAAAAGTTAACAAAAGGCATAAAAACTGCCTCTTACCTAATATATTTATCATCTACAGATACTCATTCCATTGTAGTATCAACTGATGATATTGATCAGAAACGTACGCAAGGGGGAGGGGTCAAGTAATTAAAATATATATGTTTCACTGAATTTATTAACTGCTGGACTATATGTAATAATATGTTATTGTCAATGTCTTAACACAAACTTGTAGTGGGCTGGGTATATTGTCTGATTTACCAAATATATAGCCCAKGACAAGATAAAARATTAGGCCATATACATACATATACATTTGAAATATATAAATTGGCCCATATGTAATGTATTACATAGTTAGTGTTAGTCACCGGTGAGCCCCTTGGCTACGTGGGCCTAGGATAAATGTCTATTTTGTCCATGCAGAAATATGGCCTTGGCTGGGTAAAATTTTTTTTTAAACATATTCTCATAACACTGCTTATTGCTATAGGAACGCAAATTAACAATACAAAAATTTTAATTAAAAAATTCCCAACATAATATAGCGTGAAATAGCGTATTACTACTTACTAGATATTTTTCCACTGCACTATACCCAAAAACATATCTATAGTTCTTCAATTTTCTTTTCAGATGAACAATATCTGGTAGCATGCTACTTATAACATACAAGGTTTTTTGTATATTAGAGTGGAAATTATGTTTGGTAGCTTCTCCCCATGGCTCATTYAAAACTTTGATTTTTTAATTTCCAATAGTAGTCCCTGCTGTAACAACTAAATCTCAGTTATACCCATAAAAGTAACTACTAACATTTTTCTTATAAAATAACGTATAAATATTACTTAAACTTTTCAGACTGAATACTCCCAGTTGCATAGGTAATAAATTAATATCATAAAACGTAAGAAATCTAATTTTTTATATCTTTTGAATGTTTTTATGTACCTTATGGAATATCAAGAATCCGAAAAAAATATTGAGCTCTAAATCAATATAATGCTAATATCAATACTATTTGATAAATGCAACTTATTATATTATATTATGCCGTAAAAAAATTAATATGATTGTCACTACGGAATAGGTACCTAATACAGAACCAACAAAATAGATGGTCAATATTTTTAAAAATTATARGTATATAGAAAATGTAACTTCAAAAAAACTAATATTAAGTTTCTAAATTTTAATGTTTTTATCGTTATTTGTTATTAAAATTATAACTTTCTATCTATATGCCCTAAATTTTAAACTGTTCAAAACTTTATTGTTTATGATTTGACTGTTATAATATGCTCAATCCAGTATATATGTGAATACAATGAATAGGTAGTCATGAATAGTCAATAGTCATTCATCATTTTCATTGAACTTTTCATACATGTCTTACTTATGCAAAATTATTTTATTCTTATCGTTTTATAATCACTATCGCTGTATTAAAGGTTATTTTTATCAGTTGTCATTTAGATTCTAGATACTTAAATCTCTCGATCAAATATTTCCTGTATTTTAATATTCAACTTACGCCTGCGGGCCGGTTCCGACATGCTAATCTAACTGATATTTAGAAAATAATATATTAGTTTCGAATTTATTAATCTTACATTAAATCTGAAATAATGAAATAAAAAATATCTAATTTATTACATTTATCTCTGTTAAAATAATTAATAAATTATAAAACAGTAAAAGTGTTCTCATCTTTCTTAAATTTCATTCTCAAATCTTTCTATACCTACCTTTCTAAACAATGTTGGCCCGCGATGCCGAAGAGTAGATATTTCAGATTTGGTCAACTGCGAAAAAAAGGTTGGATACCCCTGGATAAACGAATACTTAGCATATTATACATTGTTTATAAAAATAATGATACATTCTACGTCTAAACATGTTTTTAAAAACTCGTCGGGTGTATGTCCGGTTTCACATAATGCAATTTGCACGTGTCATTTTCAATCTAAACACGCCTGCACTCTCGGGTTTTTCRCCGTATTTCACAGGTATTTAATGGCAGGGAGCTGATGTTGCTCACAGCATCAGTATAAGTAGAGATGGAGAAATTCAAATATTACACACGAAAATAATATCGCAACAAGGTGAAACTTAAACTTTTTCTTCTCCGGAGTTCTGTGTACACGTCACATACACCATAGTTAATCGATTTCTACGTGTCCGATCACACGCGGTTGACGACGATATCATTCACTCATCAGCATGATTACGGCCCGTTTGATCGTTTTATCCTCGGCCCTCGTCATTATTATCCCAAGCCACGTGTTCGTTGATGGGGTGAACAATATTTTGTCGTCAGATTTTTCACCGGGTAAGTCCTAACCATTTTTACATAACATATTTTATAAGTTATAACACTTAAATAGATTATGATGTTAAATTTAAAACGACCAATCTTAACTATTTTACTCTGTTACCTATTTTCCAGACTTKTAGTGTAATAAWATACTCATCGGTTCACCCAAAAGTTATTCTTTTTTTACCTATCAAACATTATTTCTTTCAAAATAAAGCTACTACAGTTATAAATTACCAAAAGTTTTTTWWAAAAAAGTTACAACTTTCTTAAAGTAATATATTTTTATTAACCGGCAAACGCAGTCGTGGTCGATTCATACTGTAGTTGTACAGATTGGTTTTATTTAAATAATTGTTTATGTTGTTTAATCAATATTATGTCATTTGTAGGTATTCGTTCAATTATTATAATTATACATATAACAAGTATTGAAAAAAAATACAAATTTAATATTGTGCATAGTTCTTCGATATTTAAATAAATGAATAGGTACATTTAAATCATAACGACTGTTATCATAAAATAAAAATCGCATAAAAAAATCACACGACAGCCGGGTACTTAACGTCTAAATCAAATATAAAGGAAAGTATTTTTTATGAACTTCCAGAGTCCAGAGATATTACGTATCCATGCAAATGTCAAGAAAGCAAATGCAGCTGTTGTAGCGGAAATGTACTTCAAAACTTTAACTTTAACATACGGCAACGGCTGTGCACCAATATAACATATTACGCCGATGACTTCGAATTCAACGTGCGTATTTTATTCAATGATTACACGGTGTACAATAGAGATATATCAGGTAAGTGAAAATACGATTAAATATAATACAAAAGTACCTAATAGATACACGAGCTTATGAAATAAATTAAAACGGGTAATTTATTAATGATAATTCGATTCGTAGGTATAGCAATAAGAATAATAGGAATAAAAAATATCACAAAAATATGAGAGTATGAAATAATCATTATTTTTTCGTTAAAATTTAAAAAACAACTAAAATTTAAAACAAATCAATCATGATCGTTATATTTAGAATGAAAACACAATCAATTGGCTAACATGAATTAAAAAGATACTATTTTTTAAATACTTTTTTAGTGCTAATTAAATTAGCATTACCTGCTAGATATTTATATACACATTACCTAAACCAGTGACACCACAATAATATTTAAAATATTAACATACAAAATC